AAATAATTCTGGTTGGTCTGATCGCTCTGTTCAGAAAAGTAAATTCTGTCATAGTGAAGTTATACTGCCTGAACTCTGCCTGACTTTTGTGTGCTTTTCAAGAATGGCCCCTCCTTCTAACACCAGTTGATGTAATAGGATCAGGGCTTTTCGTCAGTGAGAACGCGGGGGAACGCAGTTCCGGTATCTCCAGCACTTAAAGTGTTACTAAACCCCGGACCCTGCATTCACTATATGCATTCTCCCCGGACCCTGCATTCACTATATGCATTCTCCCCGGGGACTCCGAATTCACTATTATCCGGACCCCGCATTCGCTATATCCGCTCTCCCCGGACCCCCGCATTTGCTATATCCGCTCTCCCCTGACCCCGCATATCGCTATATCCGCTCTCCCCTGACCCTGCATTCGCTATATCTGCTCTCACCGGACCCCGCATTCGCTATATCCGCTCTCCCCGGACCCCGCATTCGCTATATCCACTCTCCCCGGACCCCGCATTCACTATATCCGCTCTCCCCGGACCCCCGCATTCACTATATCCGCTCTCCCGGGACCCCGCATTCACTATGTCCACTTTCCCCCGGACCCCGCATTCACTATATCCTCTCTCCCCGGACCCCGCATTCACTATATCCGCTCTCCCCAGACCCCCGCATTCGCTATATCCGCTCTCCCCGGACCCCGCATTCGCTATATCCCATCGCTCTCTCCAGACCCTGCATTCACTATATCTGATCTCCCCGGACCCTGCATTCACTATATCCTCTCTCCCTGGACCCTGCATTCACTATATCTGCTCTCCCCGGACCCTGCATTCACTATATATGCTCTCCCCAGACCTGCCTTTACCATATCCGGTTTCAGAAATCAGAGAATTGGGGAACATGGAGGTGATTATCTTACTTCTTACTCACTTTTACACAGAGCTGATTATAAAGCATTGTGGTCAGCAGGTCAAGCAAAGACATAATGATCACTTGGCTGGGTTTTTTTTTATACCTTTTTTGCATATTTTAACCACTTCAATCCTGGGCACTTTTACCCCTTCCTCCCCAGGCCAATTTTCAGGTTTCAGGACTATCACAGTTTGAATGACAATTGCGCGATCATACAACATTGTACCCAAACTAAAATTTTAACATTTCTTCACACAACTAGAGCTTTCTTTTGGTGGTATTTAATCACCGCTGGGGTTTCTATTTTTTTGCTAAAGTAACAAAAAAAGACCGAAAATTAAAAAAAAACAAAACACGGTTTTCTTTATTTCTGTCATAGAAGTTTGCAAATAAATAATTGTTCTTAATAAATTTAGGCCAAGATGTATTCTGCTACATTTCTTTGGTGAATATACCCCAAATCAGTATTTATTATTTAGTCTGTAGGAAAGTTATAGAGTTCACAAACTATGGGATATATCTGAAAATTGATCAATCCTGAAGTACTGACGGCCAATCTAATTTCTTGATGTCCAAGAATGTCAGAACAGTACAGATATCCCCCAAAGGAGCCCTTTTTTGCAGAGTAGACAGTCCAGATGTATTTCATAAGAGGCATGGCGAGTTTTTTGAAGTTGTAATTTTTTTGTCATAATTTTTCGGAAAATGAAGAAATTAAAAAAATGATTTTCACTATTTTTTTTTTTACATACTGTCACCAGTGCAGTACAGCGTCATCATATAACTGGCATGGTGGTGATCAGGGACACTGACTGGTGACAGTATGAAAAAAAAAATTGATAATTATTTTTACTTTTTTAATTGTTTTATTATTTTTAATTATATTTTTCTTTTTTTTAAGATTTTTTTTCATATTTCACGATGACCAAAGTAGTTTAATGTTACCATAGTAACATTGTACTACTTTGGGAAATGAATCAGTTTTTTGTTACACAACTTGCTTATAGAAAAGAATTACTTTGCTATAAGCGAGCATTTACCTGAATGAAAGCGATTCATTCAGGATTTTTTTTTTTCTAACTGTGATTTGGCCACAGCTAATCACATGACACAGCTGGGCTGTGATTGGCCCAGCTTGTGCATGTGATCGCTGTGACCATTCACAGCTAGACACACTTGTATACAATGGATGGCATGAAATGAAGACATCCATTGTATACAACTGTCAAATGACCTGTTGTGATTGGTCACAGCAGGTCACATGGTACTGGCAATGGGGCCGGTACACAGATCTGTCATCGGCTGTGTCCAAGGTACACGGCCGGTGACAGATTGCGCCGCAGTGCGTCCCTGCGGACATGCGCATTCCTGTAAGGATGACATATGGCATCCACCCGGAGGGATGAGCTGTTTCACCCGGCCGCCATCTGGCTATAGTTAAATTACATTTTTGTTTCTTTTTCTAATTTTTTAAAAGCTTTATATTCTAGATGCTACGAAACATCCATTCATTGTTGCCAGCCAAGCGTGGATGTGTGAGACACAAATGCCAGTCATGCTCATAGCTTTCAAAAGAAAAATTTTTAATTTTTTTTTTTTCTAATTTTGAGACAATTTTTGGAAAATTTCACAGCAAAAGTTAGCCGATATTTGCTGCTCGGCCCCAGTAAACATGCAGAGAGCGATAGGAAGAGGTATCATCCACATGGAAGAAACATATATTTGAAATATATTTTAAAAATATTCTTCCCAAATATATTGACATATATTTGAAATATTAAAATTTTGGCCGTATTCAGTATGTATTTCAAAATATATTTCAATACATATATGTATACTGCATGTTGAAATTCATTTTTTATATATTACAAAATATATGAAATATATTTTTTAAAATATATATTTTTTAAATATATTCTTCAGATTTTTTTTTTACATATTAATAATTCATTTTAACATAGATTTGTAAATACATTCCAAAAATGTAGATTAAATGTATTTTTAAAGACATACAGTATATTTGAAAATGTATTTTTTAAAATAGTGTTCATATATTTTGTAGTAAAACCAAGCCTACAAGATATTATCACAGATGCTTGGTTTACTTTTGCAGTTCTCAAAACTGAATTTGACTCGGCGGAGATCACATGCCTCTTCTTCACGGCAAAAATGTTATAACATGAACAGAGTTAAGAAAAAGACCTTCATCCTAACTTCTACAAACCTATGAATACAGAATCAACCCCTTCAGTGCTAAGTTTCAAGAAATTCAGTGAATAGAATAGAAACAATATTTTTCTGATTGTTTGGAGTGGAATAGATCTGCACAAGAAAGTGAAACTAAGTGTGAGGAGGGAGGGGCTGACAGTGTGAGGAGGAAGGGGCTGACAGTCTAAGTTTCTTAAAATATATATATTTTGTTTAGCCAAATTAGTTAACAAACATGGATGTTTGTTTAAGCAAATACCATATGCTGGAATGTTATTGTTTCAGATTAATAAATCTATTTAAATTGTTATTATTAAGGTAATGATTATTTTTCTCCTTCCTAAGTACTACAGAAAAGTTGTCCAAATATGAATGATTAACCTATTAAACTGGGGATAAATAAACTAATATGAAAAGTTGTTATTCTAAAAATCTTCATCTACTTGCATATTAAAGTTATACCAGCAAGAATTAGTCTTTATGTAGAAAACTAGGATTTAAATCAAGCCTTACTGACTAGTGATCTAAATCGTGATTTAAATCAAATCCACCCTGGTAAAAACGCATTTCAACATGCAGTATATTTATTGAAATATATTTTGAAATATATTGAATACGGACAAAATTGTAGTATTTCAAATATAAGTCAATATATTTAGGAGAATATTTTTAAAACATATTTAAAATATATTTTTATTCCATGTGAGCATGTCCAACATTTATATGGAGATATGGATGTGAGGCTTTTGTGATGTGAAAAGAAACAACATAAACACCGCGGATATAACGTACTCTCACACAGCACATCTTTGCGGTTTAACCTCCCTGGCGGTATTCCGAGTGTAGCTCGGGGTAAAGTTTCAGCACCACAAGTGGTAACCCCCCCGAGCTACACTAGAGAATACCGTGTAGAGTTGCTCCGAAATCCCTCGATCACTTACCTTGTCCTGCACTCCTGCGATGTCCCTCCTGCAGTGTCCCCGGCAATGTAATCTGGCGGATGGGTTCCGTCCCCTGTAATCTGGGTTCCGTCCCCTGTAATCTGGGTTCCGTCCCCGAGCGTTGGAACGTATTTGAAAATGACAAAAAGTGACATTCACTAAAATGACATAGTATAACATTCCTGTATCAAACCATTTCACATACATTTTGTCCCCGAGTGCTTTGTCCGGCGCCCTGCCTGAATTTTTACTGCTCTTTCTGCCTGGAAACTGAGAAACGTCCATGGCGTCCAAAAAACGTCCCTTTAGGTCAGACGCGGTTTTAGACCGGCTAGAGAACAGCGATAGTAAATCAGAACCACTTGCAGAATCGAGTGATAATGATTCGTGGGGGAAATTCCTCATCAGACACTGAAAAAGATTTTGCAACTAAGATCGTGATGTGCCAACTTGGCGCTCTATCTCACATTTCAGTGTTTTTGGTTTGATTATATTATTAAATTTATTATTATTATATTATTATTTTTTCTGCTTATTTATTAAATTATAATTTATGATTTCGCGTTTCAAATTTTTCATACCCGGGATGTTTACTAGATTCTTGTTCGGAACAGATTTCAGTGAGTTATTCCTAAAAATTACAGCCTACAATATAAAATGCCAACTTTCCATAGCAAAATAATGGTAACGCTTTCAGCACCAAAAATCTAAATAATCATACCGCCAGGGAGGTTAAAAGAAAAAAAATAATAATCGTCGTTTTTTGCTCCATAAGACGCACTTTTTTCCCCCAAAAAAAGGGGGGGGAAATGTCAGTGCGTCTTATGGAGCGAATATGGAGCGGCCGGCACGGTATTTCCCCCGCCGCCGTGTCAGAATACCGGGCCGCTGCTCAGCTCTCCTCTGCAGCAGGACCTTACCTGTTCCTCGGTCCAGCACTGTGCAGTCTTCCCGCACCGGCAACTTTAGTGTGAGCACCCGGCTGTGACAACCGGGTGTCCACTGCGCATGCACGAGAAGTGCTGTGCTTTGTGAATGGTCCGGTGTCTTCTGGGACACATGACAGGTCAACTCCATGGGTCATTCGCAAAGTGCAGCACTTCTCGTGCCCGTGCAGTGGAACCTGGCGCAGCCAGGTGCCTGCACTAAAGAGGACAACTGCGCGGAAGTGGGAGCGGGGTACCTGTCAAATTCAGGTACCCCTTCCTCCCCAAAGGTCCACAGTCTCTCTTGGTCATCCCTGTACTGTCTGCAGTCTCTGGTCATCCCTGTACTGTCTGCAGTCTCTTGGTCATCCCCCTGTACTGTGTCCGCAGTCTCCGGTCATCCCCTGTACTGTGTCCGCAGTCTCTGGTCATCTGTACTGTGTCCACAGTCTCTTTGTTCATCCCCTGTACTGTGTCCACAGTCTCTGTTCATCCCCTGTACTGTGTCCACAGTCTCTGTTCATCCCCTGTACTGTGTCCGCAGTCTCTGGTCATCTCCTGTACTGTGTCCGCAGTCTCTGGTCATCTCCTGTACTGTGTCCGCAGTCTCTGGTCATCTCCTGTACTATTGTCTGCAGTCCTCTGGTCATCTCCTGTACTGTGTCCGCAGTCTCTGGTCATCTCCTGTACCATGTCCCCGCATACTCTGGTCATCTCCTGTAGTATGTCTGCAGTCTCGGTCATCTCCTGTACCGTGTCCGCAGTCTCTGGTCATCTCCTGTACCGTGCCCGCATACTCTGGTCATCTCCTGTAGTATGTCTGCAGTCTCTGGTCATCTCCTGTACCGTGTCCGCAGTCTCTGGTCATCTGTACCGTGCCCGCATACTCTGGTCATCTCCGTAGTATGTCTGCAGTCTCTGGTCATCTCCTGCACTGTGTCCGCAGTCTCTGGTCATTTCCTGTACCGTGCCTGCATACTCTGGTCATCTCCTGTAGTAATGTCTGCAGTCTTCTGGTCATCTCCTGTACTGTGTCCGCATACTCTGGTCATCTCCTGTAGTATGTCTGCAGTCTCTGGTCATCCTCCTGTACTGTGTCCGCAGTCTCTGGTCATCTCCTGTACTGTGTCCGCAGTCTCTGTCATCTCCTGTACTGTCTGCAGTCTCTGGTCATCTCCTGTACTGTCTGCAGTCTCTGGTCATCTCCTGTACTGTCTGCAGTCTCTGGTCATCTCCTGTACTGTCTGCAGTCTCTGGTCATCCCCTGTACTGTGTCCGCAGTCTCTGGTCATCCCCTGTACTGTCCGCAGTCTCTGGTCATCCCCTGTACTGTGTCTGCAGTCCATTGGTTCAGAATATTTTTTTCTTGTTTTTCTCCTCTAAAACCTAGGTGCGTCTTATGGAGCAAAAAATACGGTATATTCTGGTGGCAACAGTTGTGTAAATGGCTTTAACCTCCTTGGCGCTATGATTCTTTCCGATTTTTTGTGCTGAAAGCGGTACCATTTTTTTGCATGGAAATATGTAGTTTTTTATTGTAGGCTGTAATTTTTAGGAATAACTCACTGAAATCTGTCCGAACAAGAGTCTAGTAAACATCCCGGATATGATAAAACTTGAAACATGAAATCATAAATTATAATTTAATAAATAATCATAAAAAATAATAATATAATAATAATAAATTTAATTCAATAATATAATCAAACCAAAAACACTGAAATTTGAAATACAGAGGCAAATTCGCACATCGATGAGCAAAGTCGCAAAATCGTTTTCAGTGTCTGATGACGAATTTCTCCACGAATCATCACTCAATTCTGCAAGTGGTTCTGATTTACTATCGCTGTTCTAAAACCGCTTTTGACGTAAAGGGACGCTTTTTGGACGCCATGGACTTTTCTAAGTTTCCAGGCAGAAAGAACAGTAATAATGCAGGCAGGGCACAGGACAAAGCACTCGGGACAAAATATATGTGAAATGCATTGAAACAGCAATGACAGCAAAAATGACATTTTTTAAAAATGTCAAATTTCCCGCTGGTTCCGGCGCCCGTACGTCCCGACGTCACAGGGACTGGAACACGGATGCCGGCATCGGCCGGAGGAGATGGCCGGGGACGCTGCAGAGGACACATCGCGGGAGCGAAGGACAAGGTAAGTGCTGCAGGGACACCCTGAGCAACGCCGCATGGTAAGCCCGAGTGTAGCTCGGGGTTACCGCTCTTGGTATAGAAATTTTACCCCGAGCTACACTCGGGAAATACCGCTAAGGAGGTTAAAAGTTGTATGTGGGATGTAATGAAGTGCTGATATGATCACATTTATCTTGTGGATTTATTATAAAGTTCAGTTATTTATGATCAGTATGGAGTGATTTGGTGTACAATTATAAAGGATTGGATGTTTTATATGGAGCTCCCCTGTACCACACATACTGTATTTTACTGCAGGAAATGTAGAAATATCTTACATCTGTGTTTAAAACTTCCCGAGATTGTAGTTCTACCAGGATGGAACGAGGGTTCATGTTCTCCAGGATGTAAGTCAGATCATCTCTGTAATACTCGTATATCCTCCTCAGTGATGGATCGTCATACGCAGACAGCTGACGGTGGAAGTTTCTCTGATGTCATCTAGAAAAGCAGAGAGAATCACATTTTCTGACCTTCCTAAAACCAGCTTTATAAATGCTGTGAATTTACTTCCACACCAAACAAACTTTTACTTCTATGCTGGATCAATGCTCTGCAATTGGAGGGATGTAACAAAAGGTAGGCCTGGAGCAGAAAAAAAAAAAAATAAGCGCAGGGAGGACATGACTAGGGGGAATAGAGGTTACAACAGAGGGTTAAATGATGGGTAGGAAGTTTTTGGGGATTATGGCTTACCTTATTGGATGAGGGATGTTGGGAGGGTCTCCCAGGGAGTAAAAGGAGTGTCTGACCTCAGGAAGTCCAGTGGGGGAATTTTGGAAGAAGAAGAAGCTTCCCACCCTCCCTCCCCTTCGTGCTTTGGCTTGGATTGCCACAGCAGCCTTGGCGGTGGTTGGTCTTTGGTGGAGGAAAGAATTCTGGATGGAGACAGATTCGGGACCCATTAGTGGTATGGGACCTCGGTACATTCCAAGTGGTTGACTCGGAATAGGTAAAATGGTGGTCACTGCGGATAAGTTGGGTTAACTCAAAGCCGGTGTGTTGCTGCTGGGGAGAATTAGGATTGTCCCCCCTGAGCCGGTGGGTTGCGGCTGGGGATAAGTAGGGTTTTCCCCGAGCCGGTGGGTTGCGGCTGGGGATAAGTAGGATTGTCCCTGAGCCGGTGGGTTGAGGCTGGGGATAAGTAGATTGTCCCCAGAACCGGTGGGTTGAGGCTGGGGATAAGTAGGATTGTCCCCGAGCCGGTGGGTTGCGGCTGGAGATGAGTAGAATTGTCCCCAAGCCAGTGGGATTGCCGGCTGGGTATAAGTAGGATTGTCCCTGAGCCGGTGGATTGAGGCTGGGGATAAGTAGGATTGTCCCTGAGCCGGTGGGTTTGCGGCTGGAGATGAGTAGAATTGTCCCCAAGCCGGTGGGTTGCGGCTGGAGATGAGTAGGATTGTCCCCGAGCCGGTGGGTTGCGGCTAGGGATATGTAAGATTGTCCTGGAGCCGGTGGGTTGCGGTTGGGGATAAGTAAGTTTGTACCCGAGCCAGTATGTTGTAGCTGGAGGCCTAAGTTGAAGGAATGTTTTCCGCAAAAGTGAAGTTTTGGATTTATGGCCCTCAAATGACCACCACAGTTTTCCTCTGTTTATATAATTTGGAATGTTATTTATGTTGAAATCATTTATTGGTTAATAATAGGCTGCTATGGCTATTTGACTCCAAAAATCTTGGTTTGTGTATTTTGTATAATTTGGGTCGGTGGAGGGTAGGGCCTAGCAGGCTGGGTTAGGTTGGAAGGCGGATATTCTATCCTTGTCATGACATTTCTATAAGGAGCACAAGGAGGTGGGGATCACTATAAGGACCATTACATGAATTGCCCTGTGATTGGGGATTTATATTTGTACATCCCAAGCCAACCAACTATGAATCCTTACTGATCTAACGGTTATGCTTACCATGATTATGAAAAAAAAAAATTGTATGTGACTAAGGCAAGAAACAGTTCTCTGGAAATTGCAAGAATGGAAACAATGTTATATAATAAAAAGTTTAATTTGTGTATATTTGATCAAAATTGTCTTTATGAAACCGTTTGTTCTGTTTTTGTTTTTTCAGGGTGAGCATAGGTGGCGGTGAAAGGGACAGTGTGAAGGGATTGGATAGGAGAACTGTGTTGGTGTAGGGAGAGTTATTGTAGGGGTAGTTTGAAGTCTGAGAATGAAGGTGGATACAGGATTTTCTATATATGTTAAATTTTACTTAACCGCTTCCTGTCCGCCCTATAGCAGAAGTACTGCTAGAGGGCGGCTATGGGTGCGCAAAATGACGTATATATATGCGATTTTTGCATTCCCGGGTAGGGGGCACGTGACAAAAGCCGCAAGCAACCTACCCGTGCCCCCATTTTCGGTCTCTGCTGTCAATCACCAGGTCCCACCCTGTGATTTACTCGTCGGCGCCCGGTGATTGCCGAGTATCTCCGACGGGGGAGAACTGTTTGTACACAAAAACAGTTCTCTCCCTGTCAGCTCCTGCACACTGCTTTGCATGGCTCTGCATAGCACAGCCGCTCATACAAAGCAGTGTGCTTACAGTAAAGCACACACACAGAGCAGTATTTAAAACAGCACACAGTTAACCCTTTGATCACCCCCAGATGTTAACCCCTTCCTGCCCAGTGCCATTAGTACAGTGTCAGTGCTTTTTATTATCGCTGATCACTGTATTGGTGTCACTGGGGATGTCAGTGACACCAAGTAAGTTCCCCCCAGTATCAGAATGCCCGCCGCAGTCCTTCTATAAGTTGGGATTTGCAGGCTGGCTGGCAAGTTAGAGCTGGGAATTTTTTTAGGAGGGGGTGGGGCTCCCTCAGATCCACCTGACCTTTAGATGAGTTTTAGATACGGACATTTGTAGAGGGGGTTCCCTGAGACCAAACATTTTTTTAAGGGTTCCTCTGTGTTTAAAAGGTTGAGAAAGGCTGATGTATATATAAAAGGCAAACTGTGACTGATCTCTTGATTACCAGGAATGATGACTCTTCTCTGGCGTCTCAACAAATTTTTGAAGGTCCTTCCCCAACTCTCCTCCATCCTTTTTTCTTGCTCTTAGTTCGTTTTACAGCCGAATTCCAGTCATGCCGCATGCCACGGAACACCTAGACACAGAGATACATTGTGACTAATGGCTACTAGGTAGTCCAGATGTCCCCCAGAAGAAGTAAGATGTCTGAGACTTCAATTTCCTGCTGCAGACTAAAACTTCTTTGGAACTTTTTTTTTTTTTTAATAGATATATATCCAAAACTAAAAACTGGAGACAAACAGCTTTTACCGAACTCCAGGCAGATATAATAAACAGAAAATAATAGAGCTCTGTAGTTATTTAACACTCGTCCATCATTGAATAAACATTTTAAATGCAAGCAATGTTTTGTAAGTAAGAATTGAAACAAAACATGAAATTTTGGACTTTCAAACGCAAAAAAAAAAAAAAACCCCCCCCACCCCCCCCCCCCCCCCTTGCATATCTCTGTACTAATAGACTCCTGATGTCTCACTCCTGCTGTATCAGCTATGATAGCAATAAATATAGATAAAAACAAATTTAAAAATGTAACCACTTGCCCTCCAGAGGATTCCCTCCCCCCCCCCCCTTCCTGACCAGGACATTTTTTTTATGGAATTACTTTAACTGACAATTCTAAACTGGTCATGAAAACGCTGCACCTGAATGAAATTTAAATCCTTTTTTCCCTCTTAAAAAAAAAAAAAAAACTATATTTTTTTACTTTTTGCTATTATAAACATGTCCAGTAAAAAAATTTAAAAGATGAAATTATACCAGGAGATCATACCCCCCCCCCCTTATGTATTATACATGGAGATCATACCCCCCCCCCTTATGTATTATACATGGAGATCATATCACCCCTTATGTATTATACATGGAGATCATATCCCCCCTTATGTATTATACATGGAGATCATATCCCCCCCTTATGTATTATACATGGTGATCATATCCCCCCTTATGTAAATATACATGGAGATCATATCCCCCCCTATGTATTATACATGGAGATCATATCCCCCTTATGTATTATACATGGAGATCATATCCCCCCCTTATGCATTATACATGGAGATCATATCCCCCTTATGTATTATACATGGAGATCATATCCCCCTTATGTATT